CCCCCTGAATGGCATCCTGTCCCTCAGCTGCATCAACTGCCCCACTCAGCTTGGTGTCATCTGCAAACTTGCTGAGGGTGCACTCGATTCCACTGTCTGTGTCATTGATGAAGACATTAAACAGTCATGGTCCCAATATGGACCCCTGCGGGACACCACTTGTCACCGATCTCCGTCTGGACGGAGATTGAGCCGTTGACCACTACCCTCTGGATGCGACCATCCAACCAATTCCTCACCCACTTGACAGTCCACCCATCAAATCCGTATCTCTCCCGTTTAGAGAGAAGGATGTTGTGGGGGACCATGTCAAAGGCCTTACAGAAGTCCAGATAGATGACATCCATAGCTCTTCCCTTGTCCACTGATGGAGTCACTCCATCATAGAAGGCCATTAGGTTGGTCAGGCAGGACTTGCCCTTGGTGAAGCCATGCTGGCTGTCTCGAATCACCTCCCTGTCCTCCATGTGCCTTAGCATAGCTTTTAATGCCTTCACTGTTTCAGTTAACACATCAAAACGCTTGCTTGCTTTGATTGAAGTAATTTGAAATGCATCTGTAATGGTGGTGTAAAATCTCATTTACCTTGTAAGTGATTTTGCCCTTCCACTTTCTCCTCCCTTTCCTCAGCTCTGCTGTACGAGTTGCTCTATGAGAAAGTATTTGATACAGATGTAAAGAAAATCATAGCAGAACTTGGTGCTGTTGGTGTGACAGAGGAAAGTAATGGTAGCAGTGATGTATCTGCTTCAGATTCAGAAGATGACAACTACAGGTAAATGTAATTTAAAAGTTAATGTAAGATGCCTGTGAGTAATACATATTAAATGAGTTTTCTGAATTTCTGGTGGGTAGTAGAATCAAACAGTTAGGGTTGAAAACTTCTACAGGTTACTAAGAAGAGAAACACGAAGAGGTAAGGTTAGAACTATGAAAGAAAGAAATATGTAATCTTTACTGTACTTAAGGACAGGGTTCTGGTTCCTCTGTTTTTCATGCAGTCTAGCTTTGGGTCTCTTTACATAATGGAATATTGCCTTTGCAACATGTCCATCTTCTTGTTTAAAATAGCAGAATCCCCTGGGAGAATTGTCAGTGTGCCAGTCTGGCATGGTAAACTCCGTGAGAATTACTTGGCTCACTCTTGCAACTGAGTAGAGTTACAGGAATCTAATCCAAGTTGTGTTGCTTCCACATTTTGGGGCTGAAATGCCTGCTTGAGATGTAGCTAATGGAGAAATAACAGATGTAGCTTGCTTCCATTTTTTTCCTTGATCTTTATGAAGTGATTATATTTGTGGGTTCATATTCCTTTTGCTGGACCTGGATGTTCTAGCTAGCTTTGAGATTTTGACCTACTGATTCCTTTTGCACAGTAAGTCTTTGACAGTGCCATTTTTGCATTTACATATTGGCAGTTTTTCTTCTGTGTAAGACTGTTCTTAAAACCCTGGCTTGTGTGAAATTCCACTGAAGCCATGGAGACTATGCTGTATTAATGCATCATGTCCCCTCTTCCTGAAACCTTTTTGGGTGCTGTAATCTGTGTGGCATGTGGCAGAAGAAACTCTTTGAGACCTCGGGAGCTGATTTCTTCCTCAAGCTGAAAACAACAGAAAGGAAGTTGATGGAAATCACCACAGAAAGAAAACCAAGTTCTGGGAAAGGGATTAGCTTCCTTTCTTGTTTGGAAAAAAAAATACTAGGGATTTCCAATTAAAATACAAAGTATTTCTGCCTCAGGGAACAATTACTGTAGTTAAAAGTCCGAGAGTGGAAACCTCTATTCTTTTCTGTTCTTGGAGCTTTCCTGGGCTTCATATGTAGTAGCATTACCCTGTATCTTTGGGATTCATAAGAAAATATACTGCTAACCTCCATAGCACCTTTGTAAATGAAAGTCATATACTCACTTGAGACTACTAAACTGAATGTTTTTGATTTAAACCATATGTCTTATGACACAAGAGCTTGTGTGTGTGACTCTTGACCTAGTTAACCCAAATTACAAACACTTTGCTGTGTTTATGAAGTCTTAAATATTTTGCTTGTCTTAAAGTTGACTTCAGCTTGTTTCATTACCTAGTTTTCCAGAAGATCTTTTTCATTTTATAAATGTGAACTTTTCAGTTATGTTGTTATTAAATATAATAGTTTATTTTGTTTTTGGGAGAAGTTAATGCTGACAGTTGCCTACAACTGCCATAGGGAAAAATACTTGTTTTTTCTCTGTGGAAAGCAATTTTTCAGCGATGTCAGGTGTGGAAGATAACAGTAAATTAGAGTGCCTAATGCCAATTAACTAGCAGAGTGGTTTTTGGTTTTAAGTTTTGGGGTTTTTTTATGTATGCTTTTGCTATGTTTTCCTTGCGTAGTTCCAAAAATTTTAGAGGATTTTTGTTTCCCTTGCCTGCCCCCCCCTTGTCTTTTTCCTTAAGATGGCTAAGTCAGTACACATAAGTTAGACTCCCTAAAACTTGTACTTAGAAACAAAAATCTTATTTTTAGCTTTATATGATATAGAAAGGTAGTTCTTGTTTTAGACTTAGCTTTTTCATTTTAAGAGATGAGGATGTTCTGTGGTATGCTTATTGTGGAAAAATATGTAGAGGGTGGTAGTTTCAGTATTTTTATACACTTCCACGATGTTTCTTACCTGATTTCCAGGCCTTATTAATACTATATTACCACAGCTCGCTTCTGTCCTTTTGCAGAAGTAAAGCTACAACAGTTAGCGATATGAATGGATTGAAGTCTCTTTCTGGCAACAAGGTATTTATATGTTAAGATTTATTTTCTTCCTAATAACTTGTACTCTGCTATATTTTTCAGCATTTAATATTCATGAGAGAATCTTGAGTTTCTAGTTTTCATAACATGTAATATCTCAAAACCTACTTATTTCTTTGAAAAGTAATGTTTGCCTTTGATGTGCCAGAAGGTGGATAATGTCCTTTTTAATGCTGCTTAGTTCTTAATTTTGTTCTAGTATCGTTAAAAGAACACCATTGAATTATTTTTTCAAAGCGTTTTATGCTTCATGTATTTTCAGCTTCTTTGTAGTTCAGTTTAAAGCTTGAGCACTGTGATTGAAAAATGGAAAACTGTACATCTTTATGTAGTTGACCATTTAGCACTTTTTGTTTCATACAGCACCTTAAGAGCAATGGGAATCCTACCTTGTTGGTCTTACCTAAAAAAGTTCTTAAATCACTCAATCCATCAGTTTACAGAAATGTTGAATATGATGTTTGGCTCCAATCCAAATGGGGTAAGTAACCGAATACTTAAAAGTTCCAACTTTTGCAAGCTGATGTATAAAGTGAAGTCCTCTTGAAGAACAGTGATGCAAATGGCAGTTTGGGTTTAGGCGGCGGTCTTCCTCACGTGGGTCAGTGTGCAGATTTAGGGCCTGAGCTTCTGGTTTGCATTTTTACTGCATCAAGAAAGTAACTCTTTTGGTGTATTTAAACTAACAGTATATTACTGCTAATGTATTTACAGATCAGCAAAAACAAGATTTTTCTATTGCTGCTGGCATGCAATACTCAGTTGGAGATAAATGTAAAGTAAGTAGTATTGAATTATAGTTTATAGAGACAGTAAGATTTTGCTCAAGATACCATTTTTCCCTCTTTCGTAACTATTTTGATATATAATTGGTACTTTCTAAATATTCTTCACTTGTGTCTTCCTACTGTGCATATGCTTATTATTTAATTGTTGGCGGAGTTCATGACTTACAGCATACATGTAGAAAAGGCATGTAAATAGAACATCTGATCAGTGCAATTTTACTGCATTAAAAAGTCACAAGGTAAACTTCAAGAGTATATTTAATAAGACGACTGTGGACCTTAACGTTAAGTATGCAAATAAGTTTGTGCAGGCTTGCTTCCATGGCGAGTCCTTGTTCGGTGTTGTAGAGTGCTGCCTCTATGTGTGAAGTAGGTGCATTTAGGGCAGTTTACTTGGTTCAGGCTAAGCTCTGTTCTTCTCTTGGTGGCTCCGTAAGCTCACTAGTTATTCCCGTGATGTGCAAAATTGTGGGGTAGGTCTGTTTTATAAAACCGATCGTTATCTCCACTGCATCTTTTGCTGATGGCTGCACTTGCTTTATCACACTACTCCATGATAAAGTGTTTGTGTCCATACAGTTGCATGATGAAGAATGAAATTTTAGTGTTTTCTGTCGTATGGTTGGACTTGATGATCTTAGAGGTCTTTTCCAACCTTAATGATTCTATGATACAGGCTTTTCTTTGGAGAGACCAAAACCAACATCATAGTTCCATGTATTTATGTTCAACTCTGGAGATAATGATTACGGTTTGTAAATTGGGTTCTTACCTCATTACTTTCAAGTAATGGAATACAGCTCGCTTTAGTTAACTGCAGATCCTGAAGATCCTGGAGTTTTGCGTGATTCTTCCTCTTGAAATATTCAAAGTGTGTTACACAGTTGCTCTTGAAATTAACATTTGTAGTATGTATTGCTGCTTAAGAAGAACAAGATTTGCCATTAAATTCTGTAGTACTCAAATGTTAGATTAATCTCCTTAGGTGTGTTAACTAAACTGGTGGTACTGACCAAATACGGTTCTTTCTAGGACATTTGACCATCTTTTAAAATAATTAATACTAATGTGAAAATATTCTATTAGGTTTATCATGAGCATGGGGGTTCTTTCAGTTTGTACTTTTTTTATTTGTGTAGTGGAATTAAGGATAGTGAGTAAATTGCAGGAAAAACACATCTCTCAACTTTAAAAAATAAAAAAAAACAAACAACAAACAAACAAAAGACCAAAAACCAAACAAAAAAAAACCCACCAAAAAAACCAAAACAAAACCCCCCCAAAACCCCGCACGAAAGAAACAAACAAAAAAACCCCCTAATGTGGAGTTGATTAATTATTGCTTAATAGTACAGGCTTAAAATTTGTATTGAAGACCCTAAGACTGTCTTGTGTAGTATTTACTAAAGGGTACAGATATTATTAGCATAAAAAACTCCGGTAATTAACATACTCTTGCTGTCAAATTTTATATATACGTGGCAAGACAGTAAATACATGGGATAAAAACATGAGAAGGGAAGATGAAGTAAATAGTGAAAAGTGGAGTTGACCAAATGAACAAAAAGCCAAATGTTGTAGCAGAATGTTATGAAATTTATTTTATATTTAACAGAAGAATTTATGAACGTGGAATGTCAGTTAGATAAGTAACACTATGATCATGTCTGAACAACTTTTTTTGGTTGTTTTAAAAAACTTTCTGAAGAATAACTTCAGAAATAATTTATGTTTATTATGTTCTTTAAATAAATTACGTTCTTAAACTGAAGTTAGTAATGAATTTTTCTTTTCTTTACATGGATTTTAACAAGGAAAAGTTTTGGGTTTTATTCTAAGAGAAAGTGTTTTCATTAAAGCTGAAAAACCTTGATACACTGATTACTTTCAACTTTCTCAGGTAGTTTGAAAGCCATGTTTCATTAAGTAGTGTTACCCGGCAAGCTTTCTGGTGTTTGTTTTTGGTTTTGGTGGGGGGTTTTTTGGGGTTTTTTGTTTGGTTGTTTTTTAAAATAGTATTTTTATTTCTTTTTGAAGAAGCGATACGGATTGAAGATTTGCTTTTGATACATTTACTGAATTACGTGATGTTTATTTCTCAGGCCTTCTGTTGCCCAGAGGAAAAGTTCTATTTTTAACATTGCTGATATTTTAAAGAGTTACATCCTCTTGTTGTCGTCTTTGAAGCTAATGCACCTTTTTTTTCTTATTCTTTTTCCTTACAGGTGCGCTTAGACCATAATGGGAAATTTTATAACGCCCATATTCAAGAAGTTTGTTCAGAAAATGGGCCAGTTGTTGTATTTGTAGAAGAGCTTGGAGCAAAGTAAGTGCTTAATCTCTTCTGGAAAAGAATGCCAAACGGAACCTTGGTAGTGGCACATTACTTTAGTTCAGAGTTAATTTCGGCCCCTGAAGTGTATCTACTTCTTTACTTGAAGCAGTACTACCAGAAAATTGTTAAGAAAACAACATACTAAATAAAAAAAGGAAAAAGGGGTTCTGCATTCATTGTTACTTCAGACTTTTTTCTTTAGTGCTAAGTAGTCTGGCTATTACCTGCAGAGTAAAACAATAACTACGTTAGTATTAGATTTTTTTTTTTTGCACAAGATTGACACCATCCTAATTAAGGGTTGCTTGTTGTGCTTAATAATTAGATGCTAGATTTGTGACAAGCTTTTCATGTTAAAAGGTCCGTCAACGCACTTAGCTCCTCTGTTGGTTGAGTAGCTCTGCCTGATTTCATACAGAGCGTGCTAGGTTGCTGTTTAGATCAGCGTCATCTTTGCCCTACCTTGGGACAAACTAGTGTTTAAAGTTGTTGGTGGGGGTTGTTGGGTTTTTTGTGTGGTGTTGGTTGGCTGGTTTTGGGTTTTTTTTTTTTTTTTTTCCGGGGTGGTAGTGGTTTTGGTTGTTTGGCAGGGTGGGGTTTTTTGTGTAGGTTTTTTTTTTGGGGGGGAGCAGGGGGCAGTGGTTTGAGACATTTTCTTGAGCTCTGCTGTAAGTTCTGTAACTCTTCTGGGGCAAAAAAACCCCACAGTTGAGTGTAGTTTGGGAAGAGGACACACTTTCAAGGTAAATGAGGGAAGGAGAAAGATGCCCATTAATATCCTGTGAGCTCCTTCTATTTTTTTAAAAAAAAAAAAAAAAGAAAATGTTGCGAGATCTGAAGATTGTCTCGCAGTTTGTTCCCGTTTTAAATTGAGATTTAACCTGATTTGAACTGTCTATTATAGATTTGAATGTCTTCCCTTCAAGTAGGTTGCTTGGACATCCTATAGTATCCTCAATTAAAAGCACAGTAATTGCTCTGGGATATAAACCACCAATACAATGTTTTTCAATGTTGACATGTATTGCAGTGTTTGTGATAAGTTTATCTGCGTATACTGCTTTTTCTGATCATTCTCCTTTTCTGTCTGCCCTGAAGACATTATAATACTCACTTCACAAATGGCTGATCATTCTTTACTGAATAAGTTTGCATCAACTTATCAGAGAGTTTTATTTTAAAAAAAAAAAGTTTGTTCTTCTTCTACACATTGCTTGAGTGTAATCATAAAGAACAAAGGACTTTGAATGCAATGTTCTCAAAAATTGAAAGATCCATCAATCTTAGTAAACATGTGGTATTAATTTATGCAAGCCCCAGTCTGGTCTTTAAGATATTTTTCCCTCCATAATTCCTTGTTTTGTAGGCATGCTGTCTCACTGAAGAGCCTTAAACCTCTTCCACAGGCCTCTCCTATGGAGGGCTGGAACACTGTGCCAGGGAAGAAGATAAAAAAGTTTTTCCCAACATGGGGGCAGAATGCTCAGCCCGGTAGGATTGTACTTGTCTTTGTGTGGCAGAATCTTTATTGTCAGATGTTTTGTCCCAAAGAGCTTAAAAAAATGATTAAAAAAAAAAAAAATCTGTTTTCATGTCTTTATCACAGATGCAGATTGCAGAGGGCCAAAGAATCAGAGCAAGTCAATAAAACCCCAGTCAGCACTACCTCCTCGACTTCAGCATACTGTGGGAACTAGGCAGCATCAGTTCTTATGTTCTGGACCCCAACCTCATCAGACCTCAAGTGAGCAAAAAGCTCTGGGCAGGAATCCTTCCCAAACTGTAAGGTAAAACTGCAAATAACATTTTCCTTATGTTGAACTCCAGTTGAGCTTCTTGGAGCCCGGGTGCCTGCTTCAGATGCTCTTTTGAAATATGTTGCCATTGAATTCTTAAGTGTTCCAAGTCCTTAAGAATACACACAAGCACAGGAAAAAAAATTCTTTTTTTATTTTTAAACCTTTTTCAAAATTGCTGCCATTGTGAGCTCCCACTTTTTTTTCTTGCATGGCAGCATCTCCCCTGGAAGCACTATACACAAAACTGCAGTTTCTTGGAGAGTGGATGTTGTGTTTTTTTTCTGGTTGAGGCTGAAGTAATGTTGCATGTAGCGCTTCTAGGGCATGGCTAAGATCTTCTCCCAGCTTCTGCAGAACCTCTCATAGAGGACTGCTTCATGTAATGACTGATCACTTGAAGGAGTACGAGGACAGCATTTTGCCTGCATTTGTTAGTAGTGATTTTTTGATTCATTGTGCTGCTGCAGCAGCAGAGTTTCTGTTTTCATCATTGCCACTCTTCTCTATCCTATCTGAAAGACTATTTTGTACTTGGCTGCAAACCCAAACTCTTCATGTTTCTATTCTGTCACTCTTCTGTATCGTAACTCCTTGTGGAATAAATGGGGCTGGGGTGTCTTTGGAGTCTGCCACATGCAACATTTTAAGGGCATTTTTCTTCCACCTTTCACCTAAATACATGAGTATCCTAAAATGTTTAGTTAAGTAATTCAGAAAGCTGAAACAGTGATGTTAAATTTTGTGTAGTGATGCTTCAGACATTGAAAACTATAATGTATTTTCCCTTTTGTTGTTGTATTTACAGAAATCTTCTTCCCCAGCTTTCTCTTGCACGTTCATAGATAGCAGATGGGGGGTGGTCAGTTCTCAGTTGGCACAGAAATGGATTAGATCACTTGATGTAGGCATTTGGTTTTTAACTATGATCTAATAATTACCATTTGTTATAAAGTCTTTCAAAATTGTATTGAACTGAATAAATCATGGACAAAATCCATTTTTTCACTTCCTTAAATTTTATGTGTATGGGTAATTTGCAGTAGGCAGAAAGGGATCTAGTATATGTGGAATCACATAAGCAGTGCTATATAAATAATTATCTTCTTTCTTCCTGCTAAACCATGAGTTTGTGTTGTGTTTGATACTGGTGAATTTTCTTTGTCAAATTGATCCCGTTTCACTTTTTCCTTTACAGAAAACCAGACCGGGAGAGAACTGAGGATCTGAACCATGGCAGCAGAGATTGTAACTACTTTGGCCTGTCTCCAGAGGAACGCAGGGAGAAACAGGCTATAGAAGAATCTCGTTCGCTTTATGAGATCCAGCAGAGAGATGAACAAGCTTTTCCTGCTCTTTCCAATGTATGCTTTTTTCATTGTAATTAATAGGGCATTTTTCATACTTGCCTATTAACTTTTAATTAGCAATTGTTGATTTGCTGTCCTTGCATTACAATACAATTCAAAGCATGAGGATATTTTCTTCACATTCACTTTCTACATAGAAATATGTGAATCTACAATGCTTTATATATTCAAGATAAGACACATACGTAGTAGTTTCCCCTGGGAATAATTAATGTCCACCATACACAGTTCTTTAGGCATGTAAATACGGCGGACACATGAGCTTCTGAAGCTGTGGGCTTCTTTCTTCATGTTCCTCCTGTCTTTGGAAGGCTTTGCACTCCCTTACAGTTACTCAGATGTTGTCTTTTTCTTGTATAGTGGGATCAAACTTCAAGGTCAGGACAGAACTTGCTCTGAAATACAGTTTAGTTTAGCTGAGAAATAGTTCAGTAAAATGGTACTGTGGTGCTTGAATTAGTATCAGAGGTGAGTAGGTGATTGTTTCTGATTTGGTTCACATAAAACCTGTTTTATTTATAAGTGACTTTTCTTTGTAGCCTGAGAACTTACTGGTGTGAGAACTTGCCTGGTGTCATAAGTAATACAAATTCTTTGTCAGACTTCCTCTTTTTCTGTTGTGGACCTGAGCTGGCTTCAGTAGATTTTCTATGTCTGAGGGAAGAATGTAGCCTTTAGATTTTGAGAGATTATTCTATTGATGCAATTTTTAAAGAAAGTGGATTGGAGTCTCAGTATATCCAGGGAGCAAGCAGATCCTGTGGGTAAAGAGCTGCTGTTTACATAGGTTTATTCTAGAGGTTGTGTGGGGCTTTTTGGATTTAAATCCTAGGGCAAACAGAAACAAGAACCAGGCTGGGAAGAATGAGTAGGTGAAAGATTAAATCTCTTAAATCTCTTGCTTTGTGGAAGTGACTTCCTGCGCTGTATCTTTCAGTTCTTGAGCAGTAATTACTTATATGCGTGTAATCAATCAAGATACTTTGCAAAGTTTAGCAATGAATGAAAGAGTGTACGAATCTGAATGATACCGACCAAGACTGCCCAATCAAGACTGCTTCCCCCCCTACCACCTTTCTGCCTATCACAGAGATGAGTATTATGTCATGAAGGCATAATAGTATCATATCAGATGATGGCAAAGTGTCATTGGACTTCTTATATAAATTCATATTTCTGCTTTTGTAAACTTCTTTAGAATCAGTCAGTCTGTCAGGCTGCTACACAGACTGTGGAAAATTTAAACCAGAAAAAGTTCTCAAATAATGAGAGAAGAAATAGCAAGTGGACAGCAGAGGCGGAAGAGCAGAAGGATAAAGGTAAAAGTAAATGTTTTTAGATCAAGACTTTTTTTTGTTTGCTTGTTTTTATTACCAGCCTCAGAATTTATTCAAGATGGGGCATTTGTTTAGGCAATAAGGGGAAAATTATCATAAGTAATTGTGCCAAACTAAGCTAGGTTCAAGGCAGCAAAGGTGTGGTTTGGGAAGAAAGTATATGTTTTCCTGCTTTGTGGCTGAGAGAGCAGGCTCCTTGCTGGGATTTTCGTAGTAAATGGGAAGAGGAACAAGAGAAACGAAAGGACTATCAGAGCTACCCTAAATTAGATCCTGTTGAAATTCTAGTGAGTGCGGCAGAAAGCGCCAGTGGGAGGAGTGTTAAGAGTGCTTACTGGAGTCAGTTAAGAGAAAAGCAGGTGAAAGTATTCAATGTGGCATGGTTAAGAACTAGCATACAATGATACAGAAAGAGGGGAGAAGATGGTGTACGGAAGAGTTGAACCCCCCCATTTACAGTAGAAAGAGCTGTCACATGGTCAAAATTTGTTGGCGTTTTCTCCCTCCCTCCAATCTGTTATAACACTCTTTAGCTTCTCTTCATTGACTCTAAGCTCTTCGTCTTCTGTGAGAAAGTGGAAATGTGGCAGTAATAGATGAAAGCTGTAGCTGTCAGAAGGTAGTTAGTAAATCTTTGCTAAATGCAACTGATAGGTTTGGTTTGGTTTTTGTTTTTGGGGTTTTTTGTTTTTAATTTTCTGTCCTGTCAGCTTTGTTGTAAGTAAACACTGAATTTGATCTTGGCTTCTTCCACTATTTTCTTTTTCCTGACTAAATAAAATTTAAACTCTTTAGCCTTCTCTTAAAAGCTGTTCCTTCTCTCTGTTTGTTTGGTTTTTTTTTTTAATTTTTCTTGTTCCATTATCTCTGGCAATAGCAGAGGCATTGCTGTTGTGTATTTATGATACTTGTGCTCCTTAGTCCCTCTTAAAACACGTAATGCCTTCTTGAATGGTCTCAGAAGGACTGATGTTACCTATTTTTCATTCTCCAAACATCTGAAAACCTGTTTCATTTGAAAACTTGTTTCATCAGCAATGCCAAAAAGAATGTTTATGTAGAGAAAGCTCTTCACCACAGTGTCATAACAGATTTTGCTGAAGTGCATGGCATGTACAGCTTGATCTGTTTTTTGTGCCACTCTGGATTGTGTTGCCTTTTCTGAAACTAGGTTAAAAATCCTGTGGGAATAAACTCTGCTTCCTTCTGAGTATTTAGAGATTCCTGTTGGTGCTTGGGGAATTGGCAGTAATTCTCATAACCAATATTGTTTCAATTTACATTGTTGTCTGGTTGTGATGGTGCATATACTAAGCTTTTAAAAAGTACATATCTATTTAGCGGCTAGTATTAAACTTATGTGCATGAATTTGATTAAGCAGTGGTAACCAGATTTGAACATAGGCTAGAACATGAAGAACTTGGTATGGATCTTATTATATGAAGGTTATGCCATGACTTTTTTCAACACAGTCTTCCCCCACCAAGTGTTTGCTGGTGCTCGAGAAATTAAACTTTCTGCATCAGTCTGAAAACTTTCTAGATCTTTTGAACTATTGAAACCTTCTGAACTGATCTCTTACTCAGTCAAAAGTAGACAAGACTTTAAGTTTCTGTTATCTTAACACTTGAATATGGAAATGCAGATCAAAACATTTTCACTTTAAGCAAAGTACAAAAACTTCTTTTCCACTAGGAGGGATTTAGCTGTCTCTTTAAACACATATCATTCATCCTATGTTTCTTTCCCGCTTCCCTCAAGCATCATCAAAATGGTTAACAAACATCAGTAAAGACCTCCTGTAGAGCTTTGAAAACCCAGGTTGAAGTAGCTGCTCTGTTACTGCCCTAACAACTGTTTATTTTAGGGTGCTTTGATCTTTGATAAAAATTGAAATTTAAATTTTCTGAAGTAATATGTGCTGAGGTAGGTTTTGTTTTGAAGGTTTAACTTTGGAAAGACAAACTTTAACTGGCTTAAGTTGTGATAGCCATAAATGGTGTAATGGTTCATTTACTAGGTTATGTCTTGGTGTTACAGAGTCAAATTCCAAGCAGATCCACTTAAGTCAGAAGCTTGAGCCAAATTCATCTGAGGTAATCTTAAAGAAAAGACCAAATTTTTTTTTAATGTTATTGCTTCTCTGATACATGATTAGCAGAGCAATAGCTGCCTTTAGAGCTGTGATTGCTGCTGCTGCTTTACAGCTTTTAGTGAAATACTTCAAAGGTTGGAGGCTTGTATTGCTGTCAGCTTTCCTCAGCCCTGGTAACCTGTACTTATAGTCTTTCTCTGCAATCTGAGTTCTCAGATCTGGGCTATCGAGAGCACTTACAAATCTGGATTTGTAATTGCTTAGTACAGTCTGTACTTTCAGTATAATGGAACCACAGAAGATTTGATGTTTACTAATAGCTACTGTGCTAACAGACCATGACCTCTGAAGTTCAGTGAAGATTTGTGGCCTCTTGTTGGCTTTTAACCTTTGCTGTTCTTTCAATGAGCAAAATGTTACACTAGTATAATAGTGATTGGGTGCTTAGCCCACTTCGTATGTAGTATGGTTTAATATCTTTGAATGCCTCTTTGATAAGTAAATTTTACTACTAGACTAGCTGTGTCTGTTGTTTCTAACTTTGCTTTAGAAGAATAGTCAAGATGAGAGTTATCCAAAAGCTTCATCTTCTTTGGAACAAGTAAAAACAGATTCTCCGATTCTTGCTGAGCAAGTAAGAAATGTTTGTTTGATTTCAAAGTTTTCCAGTCAGGAGACTTCAGACAAAGGGGAGCTTCATCACAGCCACGTATGTATTATAATACTGGCTTTTAATTACATAGTAATTTCTATGGTGATAACGCTAAAATTCCATATTTACAGTTAGGAATCTATTACGTCCACCGTAAAGAATGTAAAAGGACAACCCTTGATAGAAAAGTAAAAGTATATCCTTTCTCTTCTGAGAGGGGTTATTTCATATCTTTCTGCTAAGATAACCATGCTTTTCACTTTAAATTCTTTACCTTTGCTTTTTCAGGTTTCTCCCAAGGTTATTGGTAATCGTTTGTGAGGGTGGCTTTTCTTTTGGATGGGAGATACTTTAAATTTAATGCTTGTGGAGGTGGTTATAACGCTGATGGCTGTCTGTGGTCAGGCACGTTCTGGATAGAGCTCAGTGCAGAGTTCTTCACACAATGATGTAATGTATTTCAGATCTCTTTTATGTATACAGCCTGATATGTTACTAGTTAATATTGTGCTGTGGTGGTGGTGGTAGTCTGAATAATACTGAGTCATCAAGCTTTTTTTGGCAGAAGTCAGACAGATTAGGGGTCACCAGCAATGGTGATTTAGAATAATTTCATGTGATCTCTTTGTTTTTATAGAACCTGACAGAATGCTTACCAAGCATAACTCCAACACCCTCACCAGTCTTTTCTGAGGTGCATTTAAATCCAGCAGTGCCTTCTGTACCAGCCATTGTGCCAGCTTGGCCAAGTGAGCCAACAACCTATGGAACAGCAGGTTTGAAGAAATGTTAACATAAATCAGAAACTACTAACTGTCTTGCTAAATTGAAGATGCCTCCAGGAGACACTGTTTCATATAACTTCACATTCCAAAGACAATCATTTATAGGAATATAGTTTCTCACTGCTGAAAGCTAGTGAGAGTTCTAGTAGATCTTCGATTGCCCATATGTATAGTTTGCTTTACTCCCTACCTGAAGGTGGAAGAGGGATGGGTACTCAATTCTCCATTTTTCTCCTGAGTGGGATAGCATTGAGTTTTGAGGGGGCTTATTCTGGGGGTCTGCTTAAGGTAGCACATATTGTCAGTATGTTGAAGCTTGATATGTGTTTGTGCTCTGTGTCCCATGTAATAAGCTCCTTGTTTCACTAAGGACTCAGCTTGGGTCTGGTATGTCTGGAACTAATGAGATCCATTTGGACCTGAGCTGCAAAGCCAGTATAATGGCTTTTCTGTGCTGTGGGTATCTTCTGATATGTGGAACTAGCTTAGATTCAATATTGCTCATTAGATCAGGCGCTGTATTTTCTCTCCCACTGTTGTGTTTCTGTACAAGAACTAGCTTTCAAATCGGCATACTGTGTTCACGTGATACAGTAATAATCCTGTCATACTTGACCGCATCTGTGACAAAGATGCATAGCCCAGTTAATCTGAGCTCAGATTCAGAGTTGACTGTAAATGACTAGTCAGAATGAGAACTGCAGAGATTCACATATAAGTTTCAGTTCCCCCCTTTTCTTCCCCTTCCTATTTCCTTCTGATATTCATAATTATAAAAATAAATATGGGGAGGGTTTAGCTATTTCTGGAAAGCTTAACTGTTCCACTCTCTGAAAACTATTCTCTGCATTTAGCCAAATCTTCTTTTGTTTGTAACTTCCGGACTCAAGAATTTCCTCCTATGTCTTCCTTTTTTTTTCTCCTTTTTTTTTTTGTCTTTTGAAAATTGCTTTCCCGCGCGCGCTCTCTCTCTCTCTCCCTATCTATCTATCTATATGTTTTTTTTCCCTTAGGTATTCCAGCCCAAATACCTGCTTCTTCATTGATGCCAGCCCCAGCAACAGGACCCGACTCTATTGTATCACAGGCTCAGGTAACATCTGCTCCAGTTGCTGGAGTTCCTGTGTCGCTACAAGCAGTTAACCAGCCTTTAATGCCTTTGCCTCAGACTCTGAATCCTTATCAGGATCCGCTATACCCTGGATTCCCTTTTAATGAAAAGGGAGAAAGAGCCGTTGCACCCTCTTACTCCCTGTGCAATACTGGGGAAGACCTACCTAAAGGTGAGAAGCTAGAAGAAGGTCTGGATTTTATGCCATTTTTCCTAATAGGTTTTATTTTCTTAAAATGTAGATAAAGACAACTTCTTTGGTCCTGTTGTTAGTCTGTGTCAAAAAATCTAATTGTTGTCATTCCGCGATTTAAGGTGTGGGAGGGAATATTGAACAGAGTTGTAATTCTTTAGTTTGCGTTGCTAACATTGTGATTATTTTAAGTGGTTACGCCTGGAAATCCAATACGATCATTTTAGCGTGACCCACCATAACTTGAGGTTTTGTGAATGTAAAGGATTTTCTTTGGAGAACTGCTTCCTTTTATAGTAACAGGTTTTTTGCTTGTAATCAAAAGCTTGGAAGTTGTTGAGCATTTCCTTACTCTTCTAGGAAAAGACAGCTTTTGGCGTACTACAAATATGAACATAAAGAACATATCATGTCTGACTGCATGGTGGTATTGTTCACTGAACTGTTTCTTTAAAAATTAGAAGTTCAGTTCCACAAACTGTTAAAACTGAAATTTAAACTGCAGTTGTGTTCTAGATATCTTACTGTGGCAAAAAAAACCCCAAAACAATCAAAGACATGCAAGCAGCAACTTAATACCTATGTTTCTTTACTGAAATGGAACTTTATGCAGGGACTAATTTTTGGATCAAATGAAGTATAATATTTTAGGTCTTCATAGGTCTTTTTCTGTTTTGTTTTTTATCCTAGATAAGAATATTCTTAGATTTTTCTTCAATCTTGGTGTGAAGGTAACTCTTCAAACTTACTTACGCTTTTGTGTTCGTTTTACCATAAAATTTGCTTGTATTTGGTAGTGCTTAGAGTGCAGAAATTTGGTTGCTGCAGTTGTACACTTCAAGCTCATCTTTTAAATTTGAAATACTTTCTTATTTTGTCTTCTGTTAACTGGGATCCCAACTGCAGTCCACACTGCAGTTCAAGTCAACAGAAATAAATTTTATCTCAACAGTGATAGTGGGAACTGTTGGCTTCCAACTGTGGCTACACAGTCAACAGATCGTGCTTTACAAATTCACAGGTAAACCATTGTGAGTTTGAAGATGCATTCTTTCGGAAGCAGTGTATAGTAAAAGAGGAAAGGCACTCCGACTTTGACTATGTCTGGCAAAGGCATTGCAGTACAAATACCTAGTATGTCATTCCCTGTGGACACTCCCTTAAGCAACCTGCATGTCTGTCCTTTCTGCTCAGGTGAAGGACCACAGTATTTTACTTTTAACCCTCTAAGTAATTATAATAGCAGTTCATGTGTATATGTGGTGCAAACCTGTGTGTGTGGTTGGGGAAGAGGCTCATCCAAAAAGGCAACCTTTTCCATTTCTTGGTAAGAACTAGTTGTTTGCTTAGTTTCTCCCTTCTGCACATAAAAATGTTCCTTTTTTACCTTCTCTTACTCCTGTCAGGCAAACTCCTTTGGAAAAGGTGCTGAGAGCTCTCAGGCTTATTCCACATGACTTTGGCCATAAATAATGATTTTCTTTGGTGTCTGTGGAAAGAAGGAATGTTCAGCGCTACTTACAAAGTAAACTTAGATTTGATAACTGTGTGCCTAATACGAGTCTCTTTGCTTAATAGAAGATTCATAAGTCATTAGCAAGTGTCACTGCAAGATATTTAAACAGCATTTTTTCATAAGCCTACATATATTTGTGACTCTCCTTACTGGTACTTTGTATTATTTAGGATATAGTCTGTCATTTTGGTGCTTCAGCACCATCTACTTGTCAAAGGACCATGTTCTAGTAGTTGTGTTCCTCAGCTGGTGACCAAATAGTATGGTATACCTGGGAACTCCTTTCTGCATTACCCTGTCCACTGCTTTGATCCCAGATCCTGCCATGCTGTTATCCACACCCTTCCAGCTGCTTGTTCAGAGTGAACCGACTGGTTCCCGTTGAGAGGGGCTCTGGATAGGCTTCTCAGGATGGTTTGCTCCGGGGACTGTTTCTACAGGTGGCACAGACAAGACCGTGCCAGGTTTTGGGCTCTGCCCTCTACCTACTCCAATGTTTTCTTACACAGCCTTGTGCCTTCAGCAGCCTCGCATGGTGTTCAGTATGGCCTGAAATATGTATATTTGGCACATTGTATTAGAGAAACATCCTACAATGTTGCTCTTAGGCCAGTTGCTACGTACCATAGTACAAACACAAAGTCTGCGTTTATAAACTGTAATGTAACCGTAAGTCACTGTGTGCTAGTTAGTTAACATGGAAGTAGGGGAAAGGAAAGGGGGTCACCGCCTGAGGTGGATGACTTCGGTATTGTGAACGTAGCTCGTGTTCACTAACAGTACAGGAAAGGTTGCTGCTGAAAACGGTGTGCGTCCACTGTGTGACTCCCACCAGTAGCTGGAAAGTGTGTTGTATATTCTAACGAAACCTATCCCCCTTCTTTATGAAGGGGCCTTCTAAGAAAGCTGATCTGTGGGTTGTGTGTATATATATGGATTTCAATCTTTACAAATTTTCCTTGGGGAAATGATCTAACTTCGGGTCTCGGTGCAGTCTTTTTTTTTTTTATATAAGTGAAAATATATGCGTGGTATGACTACTTGTTGTTTTGATTGTTATCGCTTAAAATTTTGAAAAGTGAGCTAGTAGGGCAAATTGCCAATTAACAATTGTGATTCTGGAAAATGAATTTGAAATGTGTGTCTTCAAATGCACAGCTAAAGCTTGACTTAAAAGCATCATGTGTTTAAATTAACTATATAGAAATTGTTACCAAGTTTCCTTACTGCTCATTATTGTTGCCCATTGCAACTGCATTTGGAAGGAAAAGAAAAAATTAAATCATCCGCCTGAAGTCCTAGATACTTAGAATTGAGGGCAGTCACTGTAAATAAAACTAACCTTTACTTCCTGTAATTAACAGCTTCAAAATGGTAAATGACCTGTGTACTATTATGTCTGTCTGAACATTCAAAAACCCAAATACTTCTTTTTTTTTTTTTTTTTTTTAAATCCCTGTATCGCAGGCTTACGGTTGTCCCATGTGGGCACCCCATTCTTACTTGTACCCCCTGCACCAGGCCTATTTAGCTGCTTGCAGAATGTACCCAAATGTGTCCCTTCCTGTGTATCCGCACAACCCCTGGTTCCAGGAGGCTCCACCGACTCAGAATGAAAACGAAACTGCACGAACAAACAGGCACTTTCCTGTTCAGAGCGAGGCCAGATCCAACGGTCAAATTCCACAGGTTGATACTAGATCTCCATCGCTGCCTCTGATTATACCTACAGCTCAGGTGTCAGAAAGTCAAGGACAGGTCTGTGTAGAATCGGAGAATCCGGTGCAAGCTCTTCATGCAAACTATGAGGAGTCCCTGAGAGGGAAAAATATGTTCCCACAGCCACCCTTTGGACACAATCACTTTCTAGGAGCTGTTCCAATAGCACCTCCTTTCTTTTCTCACTTTTGGTATGGGTACCCAGTTCAGGGTTTTATTGAAAATTCAGTAGCAAGACCTAATGTTGTCATGTCACCCGAGGACAAAGAGGCAACAACTAGCACCTCTGCGAACGTGTATGTGGCTAAAGAATGCAGCCCTCCAGTTCCTGTGGTCAACTGTGCCGAACAGCTTCAGAAGACTAACAGCAGCAGCGGCTCGAACACCATACCGTTCCCTGTGGCTGGGGCAAGCAGTGAATGCAGTGCCCCGAAAGACACTTCAGCTAGGGCCCCTCAGTTGGAGCAAACTTGTCCTTCGGCTTCTCCTGCTAAGCAAAAAACAGCTGGGCAGCAAAATCGTTCTCCACAAACACAGGGGACTGAGAGGCAGACAGCAGTGCCCAATGCTCCGCCACTGTTGGCAGAACCACCAAAAGGTGAACTGAAAAATAGCATTCCCAGTCGTAAGGAGAAGACTGATAAAGGTAGAGATTCCAAGGGTGCTGGTAATCTGCAGACAGAAAGCAGGGCACAGAGAACGAGGGAAGAGAGCTCTGAGGATGAGAGTGAAGTCTCCGATATGCTGAGAAGTGGTAGATCCAAGCAATTTTATAACCAGACTTACGGAGGAGGCAGAAGGCCTAGACTCGAGTGGGGTTATTCCAGTAGGGGAGGATACCAGTTCCAGAGAAACGAGGAAGCCTGGAAAGGACCACCCAGCAGAAGCAGAGACGACGGCTACCAGTATCAGCGAAACTTCAGAGGCAGGCCATATAGGAATGACAGGAGAAGGGCAACACTGGGAGATAATCAGAGGGGGCATCAAGCATAGAGTGAATGGATAATTGAAATTTTTAAAATGCAAAAAGTAATTTGAAGTAGCAGTTTAAAATCTTAATCTTTCTTTTTAGTAAAGTTCAAGGATATGTTTAACTTTTGGCAAGTAAAGACTAGGAGGGTGTGAACTCCCTACCATATGGTTTTTTGGGGATTATAGAGTTTGTTTGGCTTAGCATTTTTTCCTCAATGTCAAATTAGAAAAAACAATATAGGTTTAGTGTTTGATAATTTTTTTTTTTCCCCACAAAGGTTTGAGTTTGTGATGGAAGATGGATACGTACATTTACTAGAGTGACAAATTACAGCATTTGACGTGATCTAGATTCTAAAATTGACAGTAACATTGCACCAAATATAAATGTATATTTTATCATACAATGCCTTAGTTCTGAACTGAGCTAAAGGAATTCTCAGCCTACTGCACTGTTGTCTTTAATATGCTTCCGACCCAAAGGCCTTTCATCTCAAAAGAAGAAGAAAAAAAAAAAAAAAAAAATCTGTCAAACTTGAATGTTTCTCTTCAGTGTGTTACACATATGGCAGCCAGCTAACCCTCTGTCTTAGGTATGTTGTATATAGTTCTTTTCATATTCATAGGGTATATTTTTGAATTTTAAAAAGCATTTATTTGTTGAAATCAAAATCAAGACAAGCAGTCAAGAATAGCTGTGTATGAATTGATAAGAATGGCTGTTTCCACCAAGAATTCTCAGTGCTGGTGTGACTAGAATGGTGCCTATGCCAACTGAATAATTACAAAGACAATAAAAATGTAGATGCTATGCATTTCCAAAATAATTCTGCATCTGTTATAATAGCAGAAGTTTTTTTAATGCCACTTTAACACTAATGCACTGACAAATCCTAGATATTTTGTGAGGAGAGATACATAAAGTACATGTTACTTTTTTTAAGTTTGTATGGTTGAGCTACTGTTCAGTATTCTTTTGTTGTTGCACTGTTGATGCAAATTTATGTTTTGCATGTACAACTCCTTGCTGGAACTACTTTTAAAAGCAAGATGGAGAGTCTTGGTGTGCTCTGCTCTTCCCTACAATTCAGAAGAAAGTGGCTTCTGCCTTATATTTTTACACTGTGTCAGAGTTCTGATGCTGTTTCTTCTGACCCTGGTAACGATCTCTGCAGTGTTCCTGTTGCCTTTGCAGTTTGGATGTTCAGCTGTCCAAGCTCGGAGAGTGCAGTGTGCACAGTATTCACTCAGCTCTGTTGCTCTGTAAAATCAACTGTTGTGTATATTTTTATATCTCTGTATATACTAGTGTAGGTGATGGTACCCTTTCATTCATGTCTGCGATTGTACACCCTTGATCAGGAAACTTGAGTGATAGTTATGTGATAATTTCTTTTCAGATGCATGCCATGTATAAAACCCTACTTAAAATAAATGTTTGTCTTTTCACTTTCTTTCTAAATTATATTTACATATTTGAAACTGTTGCAGTGACATTAAAAGTATGGTTTTGTTCTGATAGAGCCATGTGTGGCTAATTAACAACTAGTTAATACATAGGCAAGCTGCAGACGAAATGAGGATGTAAACTGGATTTCTGGTTCTTATTCAAAATGGTAGTGGTAGGGGCTGTGCTGTGAGTTTTTTTGGGTTTTTTTACTCTAAGTACTTTTCCATTCAGAAATGTATTCAGGATTTTAAAAGAGGCCATCTTGAGTTTTTCTGGTTGAGAACTAAGCAAGCAGTGAGGGATTTAACAGTTGATACCATTGTGGTCCTCTGTTTACCTCTATTACTTACAAAGACTTAAATGGGGCTTCTTGTCATCTTTTCTGGGAGGTTCTAAAATGCAACTCCAGCTGTAGCCCAGCTCTGTCCAGCTGGGACAGAATGAAATCATCATTCATTACTAGAGCAGGCATTTAATTGTGAGCTTTTTTGCCAGACCAAAGCCAGTACACTTTCTGTAGAAACTTCTTGGGAAGCGACGGAAAACAAAGGCATGGCAGTAACTGGTAGGGCTGTGCTTCTAGAATTTACTTTTAACAATTGACTTAAAAGTATTTAAGCTGGGCCTATGCCCCACCTTGCTACTCTAGGACAGCTAAGGACTGAATTGTGCAGATGTTGTATTTTCTCAACCTTCACTGTTGATAAGTAAGTATGGTTTCCTCTGTTTTTGCTGAAAGACTTGTAGATTGATTGGCCAAACTCTTTACCTGGGGCAAGATGTTTTAGGTTGCAGGATGCCACTGATTAGTAGGGGACTATATGTAATATTTAGCGTATAATGAACTGAGATATACAGCTTCAGATATGTGCTAGACCACATCTTTACCTTATCCTAACAGAAGATGCAGAACTCGAGTCTAAAGGGATTTGTACTCATCTGCATGACTTAACTATAAGTCTCAGTTAGCCTTTGGAAGTTTTTGTCTAAACACACGGTGGTGGTGGTGTAAGGCTGTATTCACTACCTGTACCTGGCATAATATAGATGGATGTCTGTTGTCAGTTAGACATAGCAAGGTAGAGTGTATATAACACCTGATACCACCAAGGTTACAAAATATCCACGTTACTAACACATAATGGCTTAAAAAACCCAAAAAGACAAACCACTGCCTTCTCCTGTAACTTAAGAGGCAAAAATGTAAATAAAAGAACAAAGCCATGTTTTCTTTTATCTCTCATAGCATTTTTCACATGCTAGTGAAGGCAGAACAGACAACTGTTGCATGGAAAATACCCCTCCTTCCTTTTAAGAGATACAGCTGAAAGTTACTTTTACATGTCTGGAAAACTTACTTTCACAATAAGTAGGAACACTTAAATATAGGCACTTTTCCCTCTGTCTCCCTGAAGGACCTTACCTTATATGGACATTGATTTTTGACAAGCTATTTTTTTATTTACCTTCATTTGTGTCTGTAGTAAGGATCAAAGCTTTTGCTTTAGGCAAAAGTAATTACTGCATCTTAACCTTGTAAAAACTTCCATCTTTCTATGGAAAGATGGCAGGTGCCAGCACTTAGAGGTGGAGGAATGAGTTGGAAAAAATGGCCATTAACCTTTCTTCTTAAGTTACAGAAGATTGAAAGGATTTTAGTATTTTCTTTAAGGCTTTATTTAACTGATTATTCTCCTGTAGCTAGGTCTGACAAAATGCACGGGGACAGATGACTAAAAAGGTGTAGATATATTCCTTTATATTGTTTGTACTCCATCTTTTGGGTGTTCTTTTCTAGTATGAGAAAAGGTGCGTGTGACATCATCATATAAATATACACACTTTTGAACCAGTAATTCAAGAATTTTTGCACTGTGTCACAGGAGAGCTGTAAGTTAGGAGGATATTTTATTTACGAAGCCCTCAGCCAAAGAGATTCAACCTTTTTAAAATAGGAGTCACTTCTGTAGCTTGACATTCTTGGTAAGCTTCCCTCATATACAGAAAACAGCTTCAAAGATTTTTAAAATGAGGAAGTGCAGTCAGTACTTGGTAGATGAGTAGGATATATTGAATTGAAAACCTCCCTTAAATTTTGAAAAATCAGGAGACTCATTTGCACAATTTCAAGGTGGTCTATTTTGAAGTTATTACACTGAAAATAGGGCTGTGTCACCAAAGTATAGAAAGTGGCAGTTTTACTCAGACTAGGATTTACACTGCTACTGGTCTCAGATGTTACACGCAGCAAGAGATCTTAAGCTCCAAAAGATTAAGTGTTCTAAAACGTGATTGAGCCTTCTCATCCACAAATGTTTAGATTCCAATATGCCTTTCTATATGCCAGTTACAAAGACGCTCAGATTCAGTATTTAGTCATCCAGGAAAAAGTAGTTTCCACTCTTCTTTTGTTCCACATCCTTGGGAAGAGAAAAAAGTCAAATGTTACTTGAAGTAGTCTTTGGCAGGCTTGAACAGAGCTGAAATAAGACACCTAAACTCCTTTTTACTTTCGTTACTACTCTTACTACTTGTTTTAGGTGCTGTTTTCCAGCACAGCAGAATGACCAGGTTAGGTTGTTCCTTATTTTAAAACCTGGCTTTATATTTAAATAGTCATGGCTTTTTTACCATAAAGGTGCTTCTCTCTTACCTTGATTGAATTGAGTTTGTTTATTCTTGGTCTGTAATTGTTGGGGTCTCTTCTAAAAGTGATTTCAAGTTGAGATAAAAACTTATTCATTCCAGCCAAAAGAGTCTGTGGACTGTTAAGAGAGAACATTCCAGTTAAATTTTCAGAAGTTCTATACTATGCAGATGATTGCAGGCAGCTTTGATCTCCATCCTGAGCTCTCACTCAGGTCTGGTAACACAAATGTGAGCTGTATTTGACATACCAGGATGTGCTACACTTTCAGTCAAATCACATCTGGAGACAAAAAGTCGTAACTACTATTTTCATCTTTCAGCAGTACCTCAGCATGGCACTACAAGTCTTCAGACTGCTACCTTTACATTCTTTTTACTTTGTATCCACACATGCCTGTGTGCGGGCTGGCACACTTAGTTATTTACATTCAAAGAAAAAACCAGAGCTGCACCACTAGCAAGATATAGCAAAGACCATAAGACATACTGATGCTGAGAAACGGTTATGTGATCATGATTTTTTAATTCAAACAAGTGTGTTCCTAGAAGGAATAGCATCAAAACCAGGCTCGCTGTGTGTTGTAAAGACCTTGCTAGACCAATGTGTTTACTTCACGTGGCTCGCGTTAAGTACTTGGTAATTACACTGTTCTAAAAGCCTGGTTTCTAATAAGGCTGCTCATCAAAAAGTCTCTATAATTTACATGAAATGATTTACAGGAACAAAAGTAGACATTTCAAAAGGGACAGCTTTGAAAGAGTAAAACTCATAGATAGTATACATTATATGTTGTTGTCAAGACTTGCACTTCACAAGATTTGTATACAAGCACCCTTAGTACACTGCTTTCTTTTAACACAGCTAAAAGTTATTTTCACAAGCCTAGTTTACAGTTGGTCCTTTTTTTCATTCCTTACAATCGATGC